AGACTCCAATGGCTTTGTTTAACCTACACACAAGGGCTTGGGAGGTACAGAAAGTCTGTTGTGCCCTTTCAGAGAACAACAGACAAGGTGATCTATTCTAAGCTTTGAAAAGCCTTTAGCCAAGACACCCCTGACAATCAAAGGTAACACTTTGACAGCAGATTATGCATCTGTTAAGAGTTTTCCTACTACTTCTGTGTTGCTCCCTTTAGCCAGGCAAGGAAAATAATGGATGCTAGCACAGAGACCTTAGCACAATAAACAGGTTTCACACAAAGGAGATACCCATTAGGATCTGTGTTTTTGATGAAATGTGAAAGCCCTTAATAACATTTTTTTAAAAGTGCATTTGGGATAGGATTCCCCCCATATTGATGGTATTATGCCCCTGGCATTGTACTTGGTTGACGTAAATGAGATCCAGGACCTCAGACTACCAAGGTTGGGTAAAAAGGCCTCTGGAATAAGTACCACCCTGATGAAAAGTGTATGGAAGCAAGATGCCCTTCCACAGCAGATAGGGCAAAGGTTAATAAAGCCAGGTACCTCACTGCCACTACCACCTGGGAGAAAGCCCGATTAGTAAATGAACAGAGCTAGATTTTCAGTGCTGCACCCATTTGACCTGGCTGATGGTGAGGGAAGTCTCCAACAACAGAGCCCTTCCGAGGAAGAGTGCTTGGGAAATGATTGTGCTGGAGCCTTTGCCAACCTAGAAACCTCCAAGGACTCCAGTACTGCTTGCTGCAGATATAGTGGTGAGCAGATTTCCAAATCTGAGAAGACTTCCTTGTCAGTAGGCTTTTGAGAGACAGGTACAACCACACTTCACCAGCCTAGTGAAAAGTGAGGAAGGATATCAAATATGCTTAGAGTTCACTACTGTTAGCTTGCTAGTTCCTATGCTGCACATGCCTCAGCTCAGCTGTTGGGTATGGTAGACAGCTCAGAGGCATCCTGAGTACATGCCCCACTGTTGCTTTCAGGCTCTTCTGCTACCTAGGGCCTGAGAACAGTACTGGGGCATGAGGTTATGGCTAGGTAGCAGGTTTGGTCTCTGATGTTGGCTGTGGCAACCCCTGTTGACCACATAAAGCCTGCCCCACTCCAGCTGCCTGCCCCACCATGATGTATATGAAATGGGAGGCTACTCTGAGTCCTGGACTGATCCTGGTCATCTTTAATTGACCTAGCCAGACTCTTGGTCCTATTGATTGCTGGTCTCTGGACCCTTACTTTGCTACCCAATTTTTCTATGTTCTCTTGGATTTTGTCCTGTCCTATGGGCACCAGTCATGGTCCTTTCCATGCCTCAGAGCACTAAATTGCCTTAGAGATGTTAATCATGGCTTCCCCCATAGCCACACCCATGCTTCATAGGAATTAGTCACTACTAGTTAGCAATTCCATCCACCCCCTTAGACCTTGGCCTTTACAACCTTGACTCCTTTCTTCTGGAGGTCACCTTTGGCCCTGGCCCACTCATCCCAGCTATGGGCCTCAGCATTAGTTACTGTTCAGTTCCCAGCCATGGCCCGTCTGGCCTCAACCTTCTCTCTAGACTCCTAGCCCCATTGTGGCTTCAATCCCTCTGCCTTAGCTCTAATTATCACAGCCTTAGCCCACCTCTGTTCAGGCTTCAGCTTTCTCAGCCTTAGCCCAGTCATACTCCTGCTCAGTGCAGAGATTGCCACCCACAGTGCCCCATATACTTTGCTACATGGCCTCCTGTCCAACCTGATAGCCACAGCTCAGTCCTCCTGTGTTTAACAGCCCACAATAATAAAAAAAACACAATCAACATCATCAACGGGGGCTGAATGCCTCTCTCCAGCTCCTATACTGTTTGCATGGCTTCTCCCAGCTCTGGTTCTCCTGAGCCTACTCACAGTTTCACTTCTACCCAAGTGTGTGTCATATTGAAGGTAGTAATCTAAAGGCTTGTAATAAATGCCCATTAGCCAGTTTAGAAAAAAGACAAGATTCATCTTCTTATCTAAGTCATTGCTTGTGTAGCCTCGCCTTGCTCAACGTCTTAATTCTTGAATGTTATCTCTAGAGGCCTTTAACAAGGTTAACATAAAAACGACCCTAAAGCAAACATCCCACATTCCAAGAAATCAAACCCTAGGGGCCTTCGAAAGGAGGTTGTAAAGAAGGGTCACTGCAGTAGTGTGGAAATTCCCCAAAGCTGTTAAGAGAGATCCGAGCCCAAATTTGGGAGTAGTGACAGGTTTGGGTAGGAGGGGCCCAAGACAGCAACTCACTCAATAAAAACTGTAACCTACTGTCTCAATTTGGAGGTAATCTTACTTGCAGAACAATGAAGGAAGAATCGCAAGTGTAGGCCGGATCAGACTGATCACCTGAACCACCCTCTCTGTGAACACGAATCTCTTAGTTCATGCTGAAGCCGTGGAGTGCCTGAAAGGGACTGAAGGAAGGGGACTTGTTCCTATCACTGCTGAGGCCAACCCATTGAACCGTACTACTGAGGCCAGCCCATTAAATTGTACTACTGAAGAATGAAACCATATTTAGGTGTTTGGCTTCTTGGAATTCTGGAATTGTAAGTATATTATGAAAAATAATAGTATTAACTCAAATTTAACTTTTAGTTGTAATTGTAGTTGTTTTTGTAATATTAATTCTTATAACATTGTTTGGGAAGGAAGTGCATTTGGAGCATTGTTTCTGATATACGTAGTTATTGTGTTCTCAACGTTTGTGGTATTTCTTAAAGCTAAGCAGTGTTATATGCGTAGCAAAGAAATTTAAAATAAAATTGTGTTGTATGAATTAAGTGTGCAATCTTTATGAAACTGTGCAATCAACTAAATACTCCCCCATCCAGGCACATCAAATGAATCAGTAAGTTGTGTGGGACCTTTCTCTATTCCATAACCCACTAAAGAGTCTGCACCAAAGCCACCTTCTTTTAGCACAGTCTAAGATAGGCTAGCTCTTGTGGCTCAGGAGCTTAAATCTTTCAGAACTCCACCTCTTCTGGTCAAGTGATCCCTTGACCACATATAGGTGTCTTCCCTCAACTTAAAGGGCAGCCTGCCTTCATCTGCTACAGTTTGCCTATCTACTTCTCTGGAGATCTGCCCTTTTGTCTTGCAGCTGGCTCCTATATAGCTACACTACAGCATTTTTTTTAAAGGTCCTGATCCAAAGTGTACTGAAGTCAATGGAAGTCTTTCTATTGATCACTGTGCTTTGTATCGGGCTCTTAAACTGGTATAGGCATTTTATACTTTGCGGAAGTCCCTGACTCCACAAAGTACAAAGCTGTGAAGAATCAGACATTGTATCAGAGCAGGATTGTTGCATTACAAATATCTTATCAGACTTCAAGGGCAAAGTATGGATAGAGCTGAGGCATTCCACAAAGTATCTGCGATCAAAGGGACATAAATTACAATAATTAGAAACAAGAATAGCTGGAAAAAAATCAGTTTCTTTTTCACTTACCTATTGCTAGTTCAAGGAAGGATTAAATGAGAACCTCCTGGGGACTATGAGAAAAGCTTGCAGTTAAAACATTCGTTATTGCTAGGAAGCCTTCTAGTCCAAAATATTTGGATAAAGTCTTTGTAGTGACATTGTAGTATAAATACATTAGATTTTAGACATAGGGCTTGAAATTAGACATGATGCTTTATTTTTTTGCAATATGCTTCTGTATTTAACATAGCTTGCTGACAGCTTATGCATATGGGTTAAGGACAGCTTTACACATAGAGTTTCAAAACCGCACCTGTTCAATGACCTAGAATTACACAAAGATAATGGGTTACTAAAGGGCATTGAGTTTACCACAGCTTCCCCAACACGCATGTGCCTTCATCTATCCCATAATAAGTTGAGTCTAACTTAAAAGGCCCTGACATCCTGTGGAAACTTAGACGTAACGGTGAAATTGCGAAACTGCCAATAGTTATAAGGCACGCTACAGTTCTTGTTTAGGTAAGCTATAAAAGACCCTCAGACAAAGACTGAGGGTCGACACCGCTTTGGGTTACTCAACCCCTCTGTCGACCGATTGTGCAATCAATAAACTTGTAATGGACTCAGCCTGAGTGTGACTCCCTCCTTGAGGTGTTTGGGAAAGGCCTCCAGGGGCACGAAACTAGCAATTTGTGCAATAACATAAAACGGTGTCTTTTACTTGATGCAAGAATGCCTATGCCTTGGTTCTTGGGGCTGCATCTTAGCCCAGACCCACAAGGAAGTAAGTAGATCTCTCTACCCTATCAAGTAGGTTAAAATATTCCACTGGATGGCTTCTGTTTACAATACATCACTCCCTGAAAACCTACCTTGAAAACTCAGCCTGACCTGAAGTCCCCTACTCCAAAGAATGGGCTTTTAAGGCCTGTTAACAAAGGACTTGCCAGAGCAGCTGGTCTAGTCCACTAGTTTTTCTGTGACAGTGGCCAGCATGAGGTGTGCATTAGAGGAAGATGTAAAGACCATAGGGAATAATCAAACCCTGCAGCATAAAATTTGCTATCTGTTCCAAACAAAATTGCTATTCAGGAATACGGGCCTTCAACAACTTTGTGGAATCCTACCAAAATACTGATTTCCAGTGACTGTTGTAAAGGAACAAAGCTACTCCTATCCTTTTGTTTAGGATGTTTTATTTGTCTGAGTGAAACAAAAACCCCAAATAGCCTCAAACCTTGGGGAACACGAAACTTAGCTCTGTAAGTCACAGTCAAGTTATGAGGTCTCATCACAGCCCCAAACGAAGCCCTGGGTCCAAAACGCTCGCTGTCAACCCTTTTATTTTGGCATTGTTCTTAAAGTCTACACTTTGGGATATATATAAATTTTAGGGACATTTGGATCTGATCGCCGCTTGCAGGGCGCGGGACCAGCTACGTTCCAGCGCCAAAGACAGGCGGGACGTACAGCGGCGAGAGCGCGTGCGCCTTTTTGCGGGCAGAGGCTTCACAGCTGAGAGCGCGCATGCTCCCCCACTCCGGGCATGCGCAGGAGCGCCGTAGGGGGAAGACTCTTACGGGGGCGGGGGCTTCCTTTAGCAGCTTGGGGAGGAAGAAGCTGCTGCAGTGCGTAACTACGCTTGGCAGAAAGCGTCGCCGCGGCAGGTGAGTGGCGCAGTAGGGCATTGAGAATCGCTGGGTGAGGGTGGTTGGTTCTCTCCTCCCAGGCTGACGCGTCACACCGGTTTGGGCACCGTGGGGGGTCCCGTGTGAACCCGCTGCTGCCGGCTTGATTCGCAGTGGGACCGGAGCGAGCGGGGAAACGCTCCCCACAGCCCTGCGCCTGGGGGCAATGGCGGCTGCGTGTCAAAGGGGTTCTGAGTGCGATCGCTCCTATTGGAAAAAGCTCCGTGTGCGACGGCCAATCAGATGCGCTTCCTACAGCGAGGCGGGCTACATCAGGCCAGTGCGGGCGGCAGGGGGAGGGGGAGGTTTGTTTGATCTTGATTGCGGCCAGGCGTACGGTAATAATTACGGTGTTTACACGATCATTTCGACCCTTGTAGGGTGTATCATCAATAATAGCAAACGTGTTCAAAATGTACCATGTTTCAGGGGTATGTATCATATGGTATGTACCATAACTTTTGAGGCATTTCATGGATACAGTATGTGCAAAACTCAAGTCACTCAGGGAAACTTAACTGACTTAGGTTTGCTGTCAGCACTTTCTTATGACAGCTAGCCGGGAAATAAAAGTGCTTCAGCTCTGATGACCCAGTTCTCACTCAGTCACTGCAAAGTTACAGTGAGCAATATAAAGTAAGAAGATGACTTATTTGCATATTTTTTCAGTGTATGTTGTTTTTCAGTGAATATGATCATTTGGAGCTTCCAGTACAACAATTTAATATTTAAGACCTGGCAACGCTCTTTTCTGTGCAGGTTGTGGGTGAATGACGCATGTCATGGCCTTCCATGCCAAGGTAGAAGAAGAGGGCTGGGATAGCCAAGACAGGCTAGAAGCCCTGCCGGAGAGGCGGAGGTTTTTCAGGGTGATTCCGCCAGAGAGGTGAGGGTTTTGCAGGGTGATACCGCAAGCCAGACTTGCGATGGTGCTGTTTTTGGGATGACGTTAGACAAGCTTTCGATGAAGAGCATCTGGCAGGCCTTGGAAATGCTTGTCTAACTTGATCCCACCTCTACTGAGTTGGTTTGGGATGATATACTGCCCCATGGGCCCTGCCAATATTACATATTGCACCAGTGAACTGCACAGTATACATTGAGACCAGCCAAACATGCAAAGGAAAGAGCATGCAATTCACTGGTCAGTCATGCAGTAAATTAAGACTGGCCTAGCACGCACAGGAACCATCAGGCAGTTCATTGATTGGTCACACAATAAGTGGACTGCATGTGCAAAGTACTGAGCACACAATAAAAATGACTCTCCAGTGGGCCTGTGCAAGTTGGCAATGATCCGATCCAGCTTTGGATCCAGCCGCTTCGGATGGCTGCGATCCTATCCAGAGCCCCGGATCGGTTTGCCACTTCGATCTGGCTGAAGTGGCACCGAAGCTTCGGAGCTGCCTTGGCAATCTGGCTATAGGTTATAATGGGGGATGAATGAAATATCTATAACTTTGTTATTTTAGTTCCAATTTGGGTGCAACTTGTAGGGGTGGTAGCCTCTGCTGAGAGCATGAAGCCTGCCAGGTTTCAAGAAGATTGGTGCAGGGGCTTGGGGGGGAACTGTGCCCCAAATTCTTGAAAGCAAAACTCCTGTCATATCTGTGTGTTACATCACACGGCGCTGAAAACTGCAGGGGTGGTAGCCCCGGGTGAGGCCACAAAGCCTGCCAAGTTTCAAGAAGATCAGTGCCGGGGTTTGGGGGGAATTGCACCCCAAGCTGCTGACAGGCAAAACTTGTCATGTGGGTGGGTGCTTGGGCGACTGTGTCTGTCTGGGGGCACAGGGGAGTTAAATCTAGTGCAGGCCTGATTGCTGGGCTCTGCCAGGCCACAAAGCCTGCCTGCTGTGTGCGTCTCGCTGGGAGACAGGCTGGGGTGGGGGGAAAGGGGATGTAGCAGCTCAGGTAAAAGTGCAGAGGTGCCTGGGGTGTCAGATATCCGGCAGGTCACAGTGTGCCATAATTCCACTGTCTATATTGAGTCCATGAGTCTGTGTACTTACTACCTAGGAGACTGATGAAGTGCAGTTCATAGGCCCAGCTCTGAAAAGTGGTTTGTACATTCAAACAAGCACCTAACCTCATCACCAGAACTGAAGCCAACTTCCTACAGCTCAAAACACAAAACCTGCCAACTATCTCCAGTGTTTTTTTGGTGAGGAATGTGCCCCCACAGGTAGTTGGGTTTTGTTGTTTTTGATAAGATTCTGGTGTGCAGTTTGTGGGGGTCCACAAACTGCACACCAGAATCATATCAAAAACAACAAAACCCAACTACCTGTGGGGGCACATTCCTCACCAAAAAAACACTCTGCCTCCACTCTCTCAGGCCTGATCCCGAGAGGGAAGAAATTACAGTGCAAACCACTTTTCACAGCCGGGCCTATGAACTGCACTTCATCAGCCTCCTAAGTAGTAAGTACACAAACTCATGGACTCCATATAGACAGTGGAGTTCTGGCACACTGCGACCCGCCGGATATCTGACACCCCAGGCACCTCTGCACTTTTAGCTGTGTTGCGACATCCGCCTTTCCCCCCTCCTCCCCACATAACTTGTCTCTCCCCCCATGATGCCTCTATTTCCATTTTCACTGACTGGCTTTCTTGCCTGCACTGTGCGCCAGGCCAGCCTCTGGCTTTACTATTCCTTCCATCCAGGACCACCTGCTGGTACATCCTCAGCCTAACAAAGAGGTTTGCAACCCTAAAGCTGGCGTTCCGGGCAGCTAAGCTGAGCTCACCAGGAGTCTTGCAACTGCACTGCAACCAGCAAGTGTCAAGCCTGTCAAAGATGTGACAGGTCTGGGCTTTCCCCAGCCAGGACATTGTGTGTGAGTGCATTAGCTGGAGGTTATGGTGCCTCCTCCCCGCCTTTCACCAGGGGATTGTTGGTCCTGGCATTTATGGGGCTGCCATGCTGCCAGCAGTCCCACAGGCCTCCCTACCCTGGCAGGGTGCAGTTTTAGTGGTCATGCCCAGGACCTGGGGCCTCCTCTTTCCCCATAGCCCCAATCCCATACCTCCAAGTTTGTCCTGGCAGGGGAATGAGCTCAGCAGGGGCATGTTCTTCCCCTGCTGGCTGGTGATGCAGTCAGTGCCCCCTCCAGCTGAAAGCGGGGCATTACTTGGCTTTTCAAAAACTCAAAAAAGGAAATTGGTACAGACAGAGTGAGGAGGGTGGCACTTGGTCCGTCTGTAGGTGGAGCTTGGGGAACCCCAGCAGCAGGAGGTTCACCTTTAGGAACACCAGCTGCTCCACCAACGTAAGATCCAAGCAGGTGCAGTGGGGTGTCACAACATCCCCAGCAATGCTGA